CCTGTAGTCCCAGCTACTTGGGAGGCTGAGGCAGGAGGATCACCTGAGCCCTGAGCCCTGCAGTCCGCTATGATCACACCACTGCACTCCAGCCTGGGTAACAGAACAAGACCTTGTCTCCAAAAAANAAAAAAAAAAAAAAAAAAAAGAATAAAATAAAAAAGATTAATAAGATTAATAGAATAAAATAAAAAGCTATTTAAAGGAAAACTAAATTATTTTTCTCACATAATCATTTAAAAATATGTACATTTTAAGAGAGGAAAGACTAATATTTAAATGAGATAAAAATTTGGGAGAGTGCTAGACATGTACCATTTCAGGCAAGATAAAAGGAATCTCTCATAGATTGATTCAACAGTCTCAGAGATCCACAGGAAAGCAGGGGGAAGAGCACCAAACTAGGAGCCAAGAAACTGAGTTTTCAGTCCTGGCTCAATAAGAAGCTGCATCGTATCGGGTAAGTCATTTTAGAGTGTCAGTTTCCTCATCTTAAAATGAAGACTGACAAGGACCATTCTAATGCCCCCTATTCTACAGTTGTTGACATTAAAGGAATAATCTGGAAATGTAAATGGAAGGGTATCTCAGGCAAAGTTGTAGGCTTTTGGTACCTCAAAGGTTGGGAACTAGAGGCAAGAAAGCCAGTAAGTAGCCATGCTTAAGCTAAATGAAGAAAGATGGGTACTCCCTTCTATTAGGCTCACTGAGGACAGAAATGGGCAAATGTATATGCAAAAATCAATAAAGGGGGCTGGGCACTGTGGCTCACGCCTGTAATCCCAGCACTTTGGGAGTCCTAGGCGGGCGGGTCACAAGGTCAACATATCGACACCATCCTGGCCAACATGGTCAAACCCCGTCTCTACTAAAAATACAAAAAAAATTAGCTGGGCGTGGTGGTGTGCACCTGTAGTCCCAGCCACTCGGGCGGCTGAGGCAGGAGAATTGCTTGAACCTGGGAGATGGAGGTTGCAGTGAGACAAGATCGCGCCACTGCACTCCAGCCTGGCACCTCGCTGGAGTGGAATAGGAATAGGAAATATTCCTATTCATAGTCATAAATTCATGGAAGGAATACATGACTGTTGGACAAACAATGTTCTTGCTGTTATTTTATAAAGCACCAAAATCATGAATAGCAACTATGGAAAAGAATAAAATGCAGATCATGCCAAGGTCAAGGATTCTATAAAACACCAAGGCAAATAAAACAGTTCCTCAAAGTCTATGCTGCCATAGCTTCCACAAACCCTGCCATAGGACCTCAACACTTGCATGTTGACGTGGCACTTAGAATTAAGTAAGTTTTGTTTTCTCCATGTCTTCACTGTTATCAACAACTATTCTTACAACATCCACCTGGTGTTGAGCATTATGCTAGGAACTATAAAAATGTAAAAAGAAATATAAGACATGTCCCTAGCCACAGAAAACATTACAACATGCACAGGAAAATAAGCAAAATAACTGAAGACATTGAGTGCATGCCTGTGTGTATACACATAAGCGTCATCTACTTTGGAATTTAAATCACATTTTTCCCACAGAAACACAGACAAGGTGGTTAGGTTTCAGTTGAGGTGACCCCTCAAACTTATTTCATGCCTATTTAGTTAAGCCTCAGTAGCTGTCCTCAATTCCTTGAATCTCGAAGTGATTCTCAACCAGATTGAGGGGCTAATAGGTAGTGCTATACAGCTGGAAATAACATATTCAATATTATGACATAATTTTCCAATTAGAAAATGAACAACTATTTTTCATGATGTAAAAGCTACTATTACATACAATAGTACAATACTACTATTGCTGTATGTATATAAAAGCTACTATTTAATAGTATGTATGTAAAAGCTACTATAGTACTAATAGTACTATTACATACATAGTAGCTTTTACATACATACTATTAAATAGTAGCTTTTATATACATACACACTATTGTATGTAATAGCACCTTTTACATAAAATAGTAGCAATTAAATGTTGCTCAATAATTGAATTTAAAAGTAAGTGGTGGCCGGGCACGGTGGCTCACACCTGTAATCCCAGCACTTTGGGAAGCTGAGGCAGACGGATCATAAGGTCAAGATGTCGAGACCATCCTGGCCAACGTGGTGAAACCCTATCTCTACTAAAAATACAAAAATTAGCTGGGCGTGCTGGCCTGTGCCTGTAGTCTCAGCTACTTGGGAGGGTGAGGCAGGAGAATTGCTTGAACCCGGGAGGCAGAGGTTGCAGTGAGCCGAGATCGCGCCACTGCA